TAAGACACAGTTTTGCATACCTTGGTAGTATAGTCATATCTCTGGACTGTCTGACCAAGAAGTCAGTAGACAGATTAGTCTGGCAGCAGGAGCCATGAACTCAATCAACAAGAGCATTTGGAGATGTTGATACCTATGCAGAAGGCCCAAGCTATGTGTCTTCAAGTCCTCAATACTGCCAGTTTTGCTCTATGGAAGCGAAGCCTGGATGCTATCTACTGCCTTGGAGTCTCATCTTGATGCCTTTTGTAACAAGTCTTTTCAGTGGATCATGGGGTACAGTTGGGAGGACCACATGTCCAACTAAGGGCTACACCATTAGACTAGTATGGGACCTGTTACTTGAATAATCCGGGATCACCAATTCAAGCTATATGGGCACCTAGCTCGTTTCCCTCTGGATGACCCTGCCCATCAAGTTGTCTCTCTGTGAGACAGTCCTGGGTGGAGGGGGCCCATGGGACGAGCTAGGAGGACATGGCTTGGGCAGCGCGACGGGACGTGCCACGAGGAGTTAGAGATGGGCCGAGGGCCTGCCGGGAGACTCGCCATGAGAGACCCTTGTAGCTGGAAGCGAAGAGTGGATGTGGCCATGCGCCCCCGTCGGCGTTAGCCCCTTGATGATGATGATCATTATCCCTCATACATTCTGTACAGACAGCTACCTATGCTACCTACCCAGTTGTTCATTCTGTCAACATGACACAGAACCATTAGTTTTTGCCCTGTTGGTATCCCTGGCAATGGCACACTCTGCTGCCTTATCAACATCCCATCATCTCAGATATTCACATATTCCAGCCACTGACTATTAACCCCCTCCCCCCATTTCAAACCTTCCTCTATACCTGCTGGCAATAAACAACATACAATAAAATACTTCATCTCACCTTGGTCAGTTCCATTCCATCTGACGCTGGGAAACTGCTCTTGCCAGATTACGCATTGCTCATACTTGACTCACACGTTCCCAGCTCATGTCACATTCTAAGCCACTTTTATACTCTTTACCGTTGAGGACTTGTTCTCCTTTCTCAGACACTTAAATACCCATTTGATCTAACATCCTTTCTCCCTTAACTCCTATCCCCTTTGACAACCCTTACCTTTTTTCTTACCTTTTTTAACCTCTAACACACCTTTTTCTAATTATTAACTCATTTCTATTCTTTCTGTCACAATACCTAATTATAATGCTATAAGCACATTTATTTGTTCTAACCATTAACCACTGATCTCCCTTCTACTATCCACTTCTTAAGATGCGAGAACCGTGATGAAAGAATGAAAGGCTGGCTCTATGCCAGTCATGAACGACCTGGGGAAGCCATGGATACGGCATTCCCCTATTTAGTTGTTGATCCCTTACCCATCAGCTGGAACCTTAGGGGTGGCCTGTTTCTCACCCCAACATACTAACTATGACCAATGAGGATTTTGCTCCTTTATTAGGGATAATGAGGCTTGTCCAGCCTCATCTCTCCCTCATTACTTGAACAGGAAATCTCTCCATATCCTGGTCTGTCTACATGAATCGGTCAAATTGTGGAGAAGACTTACTCGCTTCCCTCATGGACTATGGTGCAGTATCAATACAATGCTACACATTACCCATAGGTGCCACCATAAGTCCTCCACTAATATTGCCAAGATTACTTTCCATAGACATGACTCCTCCTTGATGTTTATACTGGCGGAGAGAGTCACTTCCTGTCTGATCATATTAACCTCCTCCCTGTTTCACAACCCGATGCCCTCTGTCTGCCCAACCTGGTTATGATTGATCAAACTACTCTGCACTGTCACCACATGTGTCAATTATGGTGATTCCCTATACCCTTTCCTCCCACTCCCTCCCAGCACATCCCATTCCCCCCTGCTCCGCCTGCATCATCATCCCATCCTTCCCTATTGTCACTTCCACTTCCTCCTGCATACGCATGTAACCCTCTCCTTCCCTGAATTTTCGCCCTCCTTAAATTACTCCTAAAACTGATCTAATCACCCTTTAACCACTTTTCACTTATTGCTAATCCCTACCTCACCATTTCATCCATGAATGGTCCTTGAAAACAGCTGTTCTGGCCTGCAAGTGCTTTGGTGGCCGACACGTGACACACACCATTATGGAGTATTTAGAAATCGTACAAATCTTTGACATATGTTCAAAAATCACAAACATCATAATGGACAATGCTGTGAATATGATATCAACACTTTCACTTCCTGCTTCTCAGATATTTTTGACAGTGGTATGGACTTCTGTTCCAATCTGAAGACGAGTTAGAAGTGGACCTGGATGTTGACAGTAGAAAAATTATGTATATGAAGTTCTGCCGGCTGAGTGCAATTCATTCTTCACCCACACTCTGTAATTTGTCAGTTAAGCCTCAAAGTCCTAAGTAAAATTAGTAGATGAGTGTTGAGTATTCTGGAACAAATATTAAGCATCATAGATGGTGTACCAACACTGCGTATGAATGATCATAATTTTAAAGACAAGCTTGAAATCTTGAGCCATTTCAGAAGGCCACAGATTGTGCACAGAAGCAAAGCACTATTTCTGCAAGCCTAGTCATACTTTCCATTAAGGGCCTCAAATTTCATCTAAACCATATGGAATCCATGAATAACTTCACATTAATGACAGGACTTAAAAAATCTGCAGATACACGCTTGATGCACTATGTAACAATTCTAGACTGACAGTTAAGCTCGATTGGTGCAAAGATGAAGAATAGAAGAAGCTCAGAAAGACTCAGCAAAAGAAGTACAGCCCAAGGAAGTTAAGCAAAATCCTAGTGAAGACTTACAAGAATGGAAGGAGCCTATGCCAGAAGAAAGTTCAGAATCTTTCCCTTCGAAGAGGAACAGGCTATTCATTTTCTTGCATATTCATATACAGGAGTCAACATCCACAAGTGAAATAGTGAAGTCAATCAACACTCAGATCAGTCGTTATCTGAGCCAACCTTGCAAGGCAGATGATACTGATGTGCTGGTATTTTGGAAAAAAAAAACAGATATACTCTGCCTTATCTAAGATGGCTCAGAAAATTCTGGCTGTTCCTGCATCTTCTGCTCCCTTTGAAAGGCTTTTCAACAGGGGCCATCTTAGATAAGGCAGGCCCTTATCTGAGATGGCTTAGAAATATCTGGCTGTTCCTGTATCTTCTGCTCCCGTTGAAATGCTTTTCAGCATTGCTGGAAAAGTGTTTAAGCCTAACAGACTTTGTCTTACTGACAAAAACTTCGAAAGTGTAATGTTCTTAAAGTGCAATGACAATGCACCCTAAGAAGCTCACTCAGCTCTTATTTCAAGTAAATGATTTATTTTCTTGACCTTATTTAGATGCAAATATGGAACAAAAATTTATCAAATTTTATTTTGAATTTCATATGGCACAAAAAAAATCCATCTATATTGTAAAGTAATTCTATGATTACCTTTGCACTACGGAAGTCCCAATAGAAAAATTAATCAAAAGCTGCACAATTAGTCGCATGAATAACAAATTTATATTCAATAAAACTGGCTGCACATATCTGCTATTTTTAGTTACAAATCTATGTTATTAATATAGAACAAGGGACAAGCTTTAATGCTTTGATACATTAATTTTCTGCATCAAATTTAATTTTATTTCTGATATGAGAAATATATAGATAGTCTTTATGAAAATACTTGTACTTAAGTACAATGACTTGGACTTAAATACTAAATACTAGCTAAGTGATTGTACAGTAAGTCCCCAACTTAAGAACATAATGGGGACCGAGAAGCTGTTTGTAAGTTGAATTGTTTGTATGTCGAAAGTCGGGTCTCCATTACCTTTTTTCCCATTGTTTTTAAGATTTGTTTACATTAAGAATACCTGTAAATAAATCCCAATAAATATGACATACCTTATACAGTGCCAGACTCTTGAACTATATTCGTGCCCGGGAAATTTGAAGTTTGCTAGCATCTTTCAAACAATTTTTTGGACTTTAGTACTTAAAAAATTTTGTTTGTATGTATGGAATGTTCAAAAGTAGAATGTTCTTAAGTAGGGGACTATCTGTACTTGTACTTGAAAATATCCGGACACTTGGACTTGGACTTAAGTTGCCTGTACTTGGGCCCATCCTGGCAATTCCATCATAAACAGCTGGAAAAATTATGCCCCCTCCATAATATCATCTACACCTGTCTCTACAGTCTGGTGGCAAATCCATAAAATGTCAGGCATACATTGCCCTCATCCTACCCCCGTCCTCTGTATCCGAAATACCCTTATCTCTAATCCTTGGGCAACCAACCACATCCACATACCTTGACTCAGTTCACCACTGTGATCTCTGTTTAGCCCTAGGCACCTTTCAATCCTCCAGTTGAGAGCCTCTATGCTGAATCAGGCCTTTCTCAACATTGTGCCTTTCTATCTCTAAGGAGCTATGATCGTTTACCCCCATTTTTTCACTCCAAACTGCTCTTATGGATGCTCTACTTTCCCATTAACCCTTTCTTCATCCCTGATCCCTTCCTCTTTCTACTCATTCTTTCACTCCCTTTCTAATACATTCCTTCTGTAATTGCTCATTTACCAAATCAAACATTCCACTGTCTGTACTTCTCACCCATTTCCTTGCACATATCTCTAATCACTCCCCCAGTGCTCATATCTATACAGATGGCTCTAGATCCATATTGGGTACTAGTTCTGCTGTGAGTCAAGCGTCCTAACGACTGAACTATATGCCATGTATGTGTTCCAGCCCTTCCTCACCCTTTACCAAACTTACCGACTTTATTCTCTTGTCCATAAGGTCCAAGACCAATTGTTTTGTCTGTCTACATGACAGAAATCTATATATTTTGCTGGATACCTAGCCTTGTTAGGATCCATGGCAATGTAAGCAGATGCCTTGGCACGTTCCACCTGTTCATATACAACACACCAACCCCATTTTTCACACATTTATATATAGTAATGTCAACACTATAATAAGAACAGGAA